AATAGAGTGCTGGAAACAGCTCTGGCAGACATCACGGGTTTTCATATTAATCAGAGTGAGCTGTAGGAGGTTTATCAGCCGTATGCAGTTGTCGTTTTCAGCCTCTACCGATGGACTAGGAGGCTTGTTTTCCATGTAATTTGCTGCTTGTTTGCAGCCTGCGCCTTCCAGGGCTGTAAGCAGTTCCCTGAACCATCCCTCAGGATAATCTTTATTGGTAACTTCATGAAGAAAAAGGTCCGCAGCTCTCAGGTTACCTTCGCTCTGTAACTTCGCTCTTATCAGCTCCTTTTGCTCGTTGCTTAGAAAGTGTACCTGGTCCAGAACAGGCTCGACCAGAATAAGACACCGCAGTCTGTTTCTGAAACAGTCTATGGTGTTCTTTTCCTGATTGAGGCTCATTTCTCCACAGCAGTTCGTGAGGTTCCTATGCACCTAAGCTCAGTGGAAACGGTGCATTGAATCACTCGTATAAGCTCATACACACAGACAGACACACCTACTTTCGCTTTCGTTTCTCCGCTCAGTTTCCTTTACTGACGGCATGTGATTTGGCGGTTATTCTAGTACGGCTTGTTTTGATAGTTTAATACTGTAAACATGGTTAACACCCCAGATAATTTAAGAGTGTAATTAAGTTTTTAAATGTATTTGCTTAATTTATGTATTAATTGTATTCATTTATGTATTAATTATGTAAAGATTTTCTAATGGTCCCCATCACAGGGACGCAGGGAGAAAGTTGTCACACCCTATTGTTTTGGTGCCCACAACGTTGTCACAAAGTTGTCACAAGGTTACTTAACAAAGTTATGACAACGTTATCTGACAACATTGTGACAACGTATTGGCACGTTGACAGTACGTCGTCACAACCTTCTAGAATCCTCATGAGTTCCATTTCGTTAGGAATTTTGTCAGAGAGTTGCCAGCATCTAGTCATAACACCTCACGACAAGGTTACTCAGTAATGAGGTTGTGACAACCTTGTTCAGACACTGTAAACAGCACCACCATTTGACAAAGTTATAACAACGTTGTAAGAAATTAGACAACGTTGTGACAATGTTGTGTGCTGGGGTTTGAAGGGGTGTTTTCATTACAGTGAGCCGAAAACACACACAGGTTGAGGTGCAAAGCCCACCAGAAGGCAGTTCCGAACCCCGAAGAAGAATTGTTTTTAAAATTGTCATCTAACGTAATAACGTTTTACCAACTTTTTACCATTATTTTTCGCAAAGTGTTCGTTTTCCTGTGCTAAATCTCGCCATGTGACTTAATCGGTTACCGCGCGACATAGCAACAATCTGACTGGCTACCACTTAGCTCAGTTATATAACGTTCGTCCAGAAGGTCAGTTATATGTATATATCTTCCTTTCACGCCTCATTATAGCACTGGATGACACATTTTGATGTAAATTATCAAAAACAACAACAACAAACAAACAAAAAACAAATAAAAAAGGCAAATCATTTATAAGACGCCATCATTGATAACACATATGCGCTACTTGACCCACCAATAGGCACAATTTAAAAAACCTTCCCTTGTTCCTGCCACTATTTTGGTGCCCTTTGGTGACCCACTATTTTGGTGCCCCTGTGGAATTAGTTAGCTAACCTAGCTAGCTAGCTGGTTGGGTAGGGTTAGATTGACACACTAGTTTTCTGCATTAAGTTGTTATAACATGTGATCTGTCCTTCATCTAAGTCAGTATTGATAAACAGAATGTGCTAAAGCTAATAACAGACAAACAGTTATAATATTTGATGTCTTTATTGTGCACACCATTTATTAGCAATGACCACAAGCAGTTTGCAAAATTGGTCTGTTCCACTTGTGGGCCACATCCGTGGGTTTTTTCTGGCCAGTACGGCTGGGTCCTCGGCCCAGATCTGGCCCACACACTGTAAAATGAGTAGAACTAATAAATGTGGCCCAAGTCTGTCCCAACTATTGTTGGTCCACAACATTCACGCCAGAATTGGCTTACAGATATAAACATTAGGCAAAACCATACCAAGCTGTACTGCATCTGGCCCTATTCAGCCCGCATGCCTTTCTACCTGGTAGTCAACCAACATTTGCATATGATAGCCAGAACTGGCCCAGAGCTGCTTATTTTTACTGCTCATCCGTTTTAAATATTTAAAATATGACTCTGTGTTCAGGAATTGTTCTGGTTTTGGGATATGTGTTCTCTGGCATTTGTTGCCCTTGTTTCATTTGCAGTGACTCTTGTTGTGGAGGGCGAGGTTGGGAACCGCCCCAGGGGAGTGTGTGTATATGTGTGTGAGTAGAGAGAGGAGAGTCGTGAGCTGAGTTAGAGAGCGAGCTGTTAGAGAAAAACTCTTATGTACGGCGTGGCTGTGGCCAACAACAGCTGGAAAATAAAGCACCAGGATGCGAGAGCAGTGTCTCTTTTAATAGCGGTAAGCGCTACAATATTAAAGCTGAAAAAAGAAATTCATAATCTGTAGTAAGACAAAACTGGGAGCTTTTCTTATCTAATATATATATATATATATATATATATATATATATATATATATATATATATATACACACACACACACGCACACACACATATCATAAAATGTGACATCAGTATTATTAGAAAATAATTACATTTGTTTTGTTCACCCCAGACACATAAGTATATTATAATGTAAATACATCTCATGTCTGTCAACATTCAGTAAAATAAAATGTTGAACGTCCCACTGCCTGCAGATGGCGACATGGTTCTGCGCTCACAGTGTCTGTAAATTCCCCACATCATTTTCATGGCCTTGTTACAGCAGGAACTCCTTCCATAAAAAAGATCCTGTGAAGTTTTTCTAAAGCCTATACCAAGGGACTTTTTTCTCTGCTTTTTTCAAACTTGACCTATCTTGTTTAGCCACTGAGTTCAGTAGAGCTATGTTAGAGCTGCAGGTCTCTGAAACCTCAGCTTTCTTCTTTGGAGTACCATGAAAGGATTTGAACCTGTGGTCACTGATGCTTGGCTCCGCTGCCACAGCTCATACAACAGCCTCCATTAAATACGATTGATCTTACCACTGCACAGGCGTAGTTCCTCACACCCAACAGAAAGGAAGGGTTTTCATGTTTAACAACTCCAGAGAGAGCTTTCTTTAGAGGCTGGAATTCTGTAATGCTTTTGCTGTTTTCAATATCGTAGGATTTTTTTTTCTCTAGTTTTGGTGAGAAGGAAAACACAAAGTTTGAAAGTAATCTTCAGTATTTGTTTTATTTATGTATTCATTTATACAATTATTCAAAAGTAATCTCCTAAAGCAAATGTGATATATACACTATATATATTTATATTAATTCATTAAATAACTGACACATTCAAATAACCTGTATATTTTTGCAGTGTATAAAATATACGGTGGCAAACTTTAAAAATGCGTAAAAAATAAAATAAATTAAAATAACCTGTGAAACACACCTGGTTAAAAAGTGACTGTCTTGTACAAGTTTGGAGAATATGTGCAAAAGGTTGCAATTTTTTAAATATGTAAGTTCACAATAATGTTCTGTCAACTAGCCCACACTTTCTCTCATTATGAGTAGGTGACTTCTGATGTTTTATGGTGAATGTACTGATCACACATGAAAGGAAGGAGCATGACAAACTATTCCACTATTGGTGTCAACAAAGATATGTTTTCACACAGCACTTGATCCAGCAAGTAACAGTATACAACACGATGCACTTTCCTCATGATATTCGGCTACTTTCAGATGTCTGGTGTGTTAATACAGCTTTAAATTTTCTTTTAGCAGGAACAGGTGGTCCTTGTATTCACCCAGATGAAAATAAAAACCAGTTCAGTGCTGCATCTTTCATTGTCCCTCAGGTTCTTCATTCTTGATGGAAATTTAGTTGGGATAGGATCTTTTCTGAGAAATAATGCATGTGCCACATCTCTCAAGTACCCATTAATTAGAATTTCTCCTGGTTTACAACAGACTGTTATGTAACATAGTGCAGGCCACTTCACACATTAAGAAATATGCGCTCTGCACCATGCTTTAGTGCATTACAAAATGTGTTGTTAGAACTCAATATAAAGTCTTTTTTAGCATATTAATACTTCATAAATAGATAAAATAAGACTTATACGAGCTTGACTGCTTATTGCTGCCACGATCGGAAATGGAAGCTTATAATGCAAAATGTACCATATTCCAGATATTACTATTCTGACCAGAAGTATGGATTGGAAAACAAACTGATTTTGTTGCTCAGAAACTAAACGGTTTTGTCATGCCTTCTTAAAATACAGTCTAGGCCAGAATCATTTTAGCTTACTTATTAAAAGGATGTGTAAATGTGCATATATATTCAAAGCTACATATGAAACTGAACTATGGTACCAAAGCTTTGGTCATCAAGATAGTTCTAGGCCTTCTGTAGTTTGGTTCTAGCTAGCATGATCATGTGCAAATAAAAGTGACCCAAATAAAGTAAAAAAAATCTGTAAATATTTTTTAAAAACATGCCAGAATTACACTTGCTTTCCAGTATGTTGCAGTAAGCATGCAACAGATAACTCTTTCAGACATGCACTTTTCTAGGGATATACCCACCACATGCTGCTTGACCTGTAATACGGTGGGTTACATGTGTGAGACAAGACTGCTGATCTGCAGACCTATAAATACTAATGTTCTCAAATGCCATTCTCTCACTTCTTCCTCACATTTTTAGTTATATATAATGACCAGACTGGGGCAGAAAATATCTTCAGTGGCTCTGATACTTGCAAAAGTGCTGTTTCTACAGTAAATATTCTTCCAGTATTGTATTATAGCAGATAGAGGCATGGTTTAACATGGGCTGCAACAAGGAGAAGGGGTTGTGAGAGTGCCTGGGTAAATAGGCGATGTGCTTAACCCAAACACGCTGTTTTTGGTTTATTTATCCAACCCCACCTTTTTTTATTCCCCTTTTACAGTGGGAACAGGCAACAAGCTCAGAAGACATAAGACAGAAAATATGCTGCAAAGCTGCTTTCATTGAGTTTTATTGTTTATCGTATTTGGTTGTTACCCTGAGTGGGGTGAAAAAGAGAAATAAAACTCTCCCATCTGCTGCATCTCTCCAGGGTTGTGTCCCTACTGAGGGGAGAACGGGAATAAATAAATAAACCAAAACCAAACAAGGATCGGGTGTAGCACATCCGCCTATTACCCAGCCACTCCTCACCCTCACACAAGTGCCAAGTACCACACCCCCAGCTAGTTAAGAATCTCAGATCTCAGGTTTTGCTAAGTATCCTGATGCTACATGGTGCCATGAACAAGGATCTGCAAGTCTGAGAAAATACAGCAGTAGAATTTACATGGAGGAAACGAAGCGCAGCATAGCTGCAAGAAGAAACCACCCAATACCATGCACTTCATAATGCAGTCACTAACCAGACCCTGAGTCCTTGAGGGAGGAAGGGAGGTGATTCATCCACTGCCAGAAGGCCAGCAAAGAGCAAAAGCTACAGAAGAGGTCAGTGATGACATGTAGGAAGTTATAAAACCCTCACACAAACCTAACAGAATGTTCAGCTGCACCAAAACAAACTAAAGTTTCAGCTTCATAGTTACAGACTTTAGAATTCTAGACTGTCCTCTACTTTCATCATTATTCTCCTAGCAGTTCAAAAGAAGATCATCCTCTTGATGCTCTGATGCTTGTCAGCGTGAAATCGGCAGTCCAATCCCACACAGGATATGGAAATGAAATCCCATAGTCATGGATGAGACTCAGTGCTACTTCTAGGCAGTCCAGGATCGGACTGAGGCCTGTGGAGGCCCACGGCCCCAGTGCTACTGACGGGTGTCTCAGGGGGTGAGGAGAGGTGAATTGGAAGAAGCGATCTGGAATATTGGTGTCTTGAGAGAACAGCCTGGAGCGACGTGGGGCCGTGGAGTTGGACCGTCTCCTTGTTCTGCTCAGGGAGAGAGTCTGTGTGAGTTGCGTCTAACACTGAATCTTTGGACATGGGATGAGCCAGTCCTGATACTGAATCTTTGGATATGGGGTAAGCCTTCACCATGCTGAACAACTCAGCATTCTGGAAAAAAAGGTGTACATTAATACACAATTTACACTAAGAACAGTGATGTTTTTGGTGTTGCAATAGTTTGGAAAGCTGGTTATAGTTATAATCACTGTCTAAACAGTGACATGTTGACCAACAGAACAATAATAGAAATAAGTATATATTATTGCATCTTTTTATTTTTTTTATGATTTCATGATGAATGGATCAATGGAAATAGTCCAAAATTACTTGGAATAAAATCTTGTTATAGTAAGTTACATTAAAAATGCTTTTTCCTTCTCCTGTGAATTACCATTTTGTAGAAATTAGGTTTAGTTCCAACAGCAATAATTTTATAGAACAGATTGCAGACAGACAGCAACAAATATATGGAAATATATATGTCTGAATAAACATAGATATATGAATGCTACTGTGTTAAAGTCACAATAAAGGATTTTAGAGCTGCAAATTGATTATCACTGGCACTGCATTTATGAAAAACTTTTTATGAAAAGTCCTAATGATGGAATAGATTTATTACAGTCATACTTGGCAGCTGAAGCATCAGAAAGGAACTGTAGCGGAATACATGCTCTTTATATATTGTATAAATGTGCGATGGATTGGGAAAAGGAGGAAAAAAGTATGTTATTATTTCTCAGGCATATACCAACATTGCATAATATGTCATGAATTTGCTTGCGTACTTATTTTTGTTATATTTTTTAGAGTTTAGGCATGTGTCATTGTTTTTAAGTGTTCCTTGTAACACTGGTTGGTAGCTGAGTAAGACATTTCAGCAGCTGAATAGGTGTTATAACTATGTAATGAGGGATATCAAGAAATTCTGAGTCAGCAAATGACTGAGTGCTATAAAACAGGATAGTTTAACAGTGGTCAACTGGGCAGCATGTGTAAACAGAAATATGATACTGGGATACAGTCCATTTTTCCTTTACTTGAAATAGATGGAGATCTTGCAAAAATGAACCCCTCAGCTGGTTTGGTTGCATTCTTAAATATCTGTATAATACAGGAATAAAGCATTGTCTTGGTGCTACTACAAAGAATTGTGAGTCTGCCTTTCTGCTGACTGGCACGTCCATTCTTATTTGTGTATGATTTGTGGATGATGTACAAGCTGTGGTAGCTGTGGTACCTGTGGGGCTGGGCTGAGGGTGTGGCTGGTGCTAATTGCAGAGACAGGCTGCACTCTAATGGCGGGTTTTCTGTACTCCAGGTTGGCTGTGACTGCACTGTACGCTGGGGGGCCTATGCAGGACTGCTTCTGTAGTAACTGCAGAATTGCCTGGATGTCTGATGTCATCTGAGACTCCAACCTGGCAACAACACAGATCTCAGTATGAGACATAAGATTATCATTTTGAAACTGAAACTATATAAATGTGCTTGTTGTGCCATGTGCAAACGTTTTGGACACCCAGTTGTAAAGCCTCAGAAATCATTAGGCCTAAACTGATTTGTTAAGACTGATCAAGAATCATCATTAGGAAATGCCAACTAATGATAATTCCAGAGTATGACTCTTTTCGAAGTAAGCACAAAAACACCAGAGGCATTATGGAATCAAGTGCTGTGGACTGGCAAAGTTAAAATGGAACCATTTAACCACAATCACCAAAGGTATATCTGGAGAAAAATGGGACTGAATCTATTTGGGGTTGTGCCAGCCAGTGGCACAGAAACCATTGCATGAGTAGATGGAAGAATGGATTCAACTAAATATCATATCAACTAAATATAATATTGGATTCAACTAAATATTCTGGAATCAAATGCGACACATTCAGTGAGGAAACTGAGGCTGAAAAGAGGCTGGCTTCTACAACAGAAAAATGATCCCTCAAAATCCATCACAAACTACTTCAAGGAATGCAAATTGGAACTTCTGAAATGGCCTTCACAGTCCCCTGACCTGAACATCACTGGAAATCTGTGCAGTGCAAGACAGTCCAAGACTGCTGCAGAACTAGAGGCGTTCTCTAGAGAACAGTGGGTAAAGATTCTTAAATTAAGAACTGAAAGACTCCTAGCTGGCTACAAAAAGTGCTTATAAGCTGTGATGTTTACCAAATGGGCTGGTACTAGATACTACTAGGTAGTAGTAGTAGTAATAGCAATAGTGTTAGTAGTTAGTCTAAACTTTTGCTCATGTCACAATTATTATTTTATTTATTATAAAATACACATTTTTTTCTCAAGTTCATCAAATATAAACTGCATATTAGTGTGCAGAGGTTGTGTTTGCTTCTTTTCACACATATGCACACACACAAGTTGGACCTTAAATAACATTTTTGATCCCTTTAAAAATATAGTATTTATTTATATATAAACACAGTATTTATTATATAGTAATGCAATAAGCACATTCATAAAGCAGTGTTTTTGAATTGTAAGAACTAAAACACAACTCTAGAGGGAGCCTCTGCTCTGATGAAATGCATACTGATCTGAAAGTTAATTTGCAAAAATAATCACTGGTTCCTAGAAAGCACAAGAAAAGAAGCCCGTTTCTTGGATAGAAGGAGAGATGCACTAGTATTGGTTACGAATGTCAAGTTCCCAGGTACTTGTACAAAGCAGTAGACAACAGATTTATTTTGGCTTTTACTATGCCCATTTTCTCTGGACCTAATCTAAAAGTGAAAAAACAATAATAAATTGTAACTGTACTGCTTATTCTTACACAAACTTGCAGGATGCCTTCTGGATTATATTTGTGTGTGTGTGTTTGTGTGTGTGTGTGTGTGTGTGTGTGTGTGTGTGTGTGTGTGTGTGTGTGTGTGTTTTGTTTTTTAAATGTGCTATTTCTTCAACAGTACACCTCCTGTGCTTTAGTAGAGAGTTGTGCTACAAACAGTTCTCTATTCAGCATCACCACACAGCAGGACTGCCTGCCCACTGTTATTTGTCCAACTACAAAACAAATGTGAAAGAATAGAAGGAGAGGTCACAGAGAGATAGACAGAGAGAGAAAGAGAGAGAGAGAGAGAGAGAGAAAGAGAGAGAGAGAGAGAGAGAGAGAGAGAGAGAGAGAGATGAGAAGGAAATAGCAGGAAGAGAATGATAGTGAGACACACAAGAGACACACAAGAGCAAGAGCGAGAGAGAGAGATGAGGGTGTAGATCTCTAATGGAGATCAGAGATGTGAGGCTCAGCTGGTGCAGGATTTCTGCAGCCTGATGCCTCTTTTCCCCTCTGCCAGCAATTCAGCTAAAAATACCACCTGCTGTTAGTCCGCACAGCCTGCTGCCTGCTAGCGTGTGTGTGTTGATATCGCTGAGCTCAGCCTGTTTTGTACACTGAGTCTGATTTTCACGCGCAGATGAGCGATAACCCAGAGCACTCTTCTGTTACGGCGCTTAGATAAATTTGTTGGAGAGTAAAGGTGTGAGTGGGTATGTTTCTGGATTAGTGTATGAAGTTGTTTTTTTCTCTCAGGGGTGCTGCTAACAGAAACAGGCTTTATTACTTTCTCACCACTTTCTTATTCTGATAGGAAAATAGGCAACATATGTGATACACAGTTGGGTGGTAAATTTAATTTACAGTTTATTATTGCTAAAAAAATTAATGCATTGTAAAATGAATTTTCCCAAAAGTATTTTTCACACTGAAACCATGCTTGAGTACACATTTAGCACATTCAGAAACAATGCATTTTTTCATTTTCTTCCCACAGAAGACTAGCACCACTACTAGCACTAGTAATTGCTATGAACTTTATGTTTTATATTTGTATGATGCATAAGTGGATGGATTCATTTTAGTTTTCAGTATGACTCACTAAAAAGGAAATGCATGGAATTGCACATAAGTATTTTATGCCAATTTTGTCTTTAGCTTATTTTTTGCAAAAACTATGTTGATGTAATATATTTTATTAATGTGAGAATTACGTTTTACTTGAATCAAGTCAATGCAGTGATATCAAAGCAAACGTGTGGGCATCTCTGGTGTATTATCATGTTTTCTTAATTTTCTATGTGAAAATAATTACATATCCTAATAATTACATATCATACAGCACATTTTGTACTTTACTATATTTTTCCAATATGTTAACAAACAAAACAGGGATCTTCACACCCTTGCATACAACTGTATACATACACAGTTTCATACAGCAATGGATTTTTAATGGTTTTGTACTAAAATGAGACTGAGAAAAAAAAAGCTGAATACAAATATTCAAAATATTCAGGATATCTTCAAATGATTATACGTCTACTCAATGTTATTTTCTCAGTCACATTTCAGTTGTTACGATTTAGTCACTGATACCATTTCTCTATTTCATTTCATTGTTGTACTGGTGACATTATCTGCGCTGCTTTGTGAATGGTCATGACTCTGATTTTTAAGCTTATCGCTTATCAGATCAAGAGTTTAACAAAAAGAAAAGAACAGTGCATTACAAACTTCACAGTTCCTACGCTGATAGATGCTGAATGAAATAAGAAGCTCCACTGAAATTCTATAAGTTATTTAGTACTTGAGTAGTTTTTTAATCTGCTGTTTTCTAGAAAGAGTTGTTTGTTTTTTGGAAACATCCTTGTACTTTTATTCAAGTCACTATTTCATCAAAGTAACAATGTTTTTCTTTGAGTATGCATTTAGGCTACCTCTGATCTACTCTATAAAATGAGCCAGTACAAATAATAAGTAATTGTAAGTAATAGTTGTACTGCCACTCCATACACCAAAATTCTAGACTCTTTCATAAGCTCTGTAGGTTTCTATAAGGCTCTCAGGTTCAGATCTGGTACCTGTTCAGGTGCTCCTGCAGGTGGTCCAGTCTCTGCTCCACCTCTCCATATGTGAGCTCACTTTCCATCTCATCTTCTTCTTCCCCTCTGAGCTTCTGTTTTTGAGCCGAGTCTTCCACAGCCTCCCTCGGCCTTACACTCTCCCAGTCAGTAGTCTGCATGTCTGCACACATAAAAAAATCACATACTTGAGTAATTTCAATACAGAGCCGAGATCACATTTCCTATATTTCATAAACAGACTATGAAAATCACTGAGGTGGCAGAAACAGAGCTCCATTACTGTTTAGTGTGTTATCCCTCATCCCTCCTTTACCACGTATTGTGCAGCTGAAGTGCTCCTATCTCTGCAGCAGCAGGGCTAACACAGACACTACAGCCAAAGGGTTATCTTCTACTGCCACCTGCATGTGCAGCAGCCAAGAGCACACTGGGCACTGTTACCTTACAGCTGATCTGAGAGGTCAGACAAGAGGTGAGTTACACTAGTCATTCAGTTTCTTCTGGAAAAATGCCACTTGGGGCTAGAGATACTGATCTGTAAGCCTAGAAACACACTATGCTGCAGGATACCACAAAATGATCCAAGCGCACATTGATGCATGCCATAAAAATACATTTCTATGTTCTTTATGCTACTATCAGTTAAAACTGAACTAAGATAGTGTTAACGTGTTTATCAAATGAGCTTGCAAAATCAAATACGAATCTAACATTTAAGAAGCTTCTGACCAGTCCCCTCGTCCAGAAAGTTCTCCCACAGTGAAACCATACAAAACTGAACACATACAGCAAATGCAGGCAGAGCTATTTTAGTTTTGCTGCAGTTCTGTTCTCTCAGTCAGCAGCTAAGAGGTCATATTGTCCAGGCAGAGTGAGTTTGGGAACACATGTGTCTCATCAAATGCATCAAATTTGCAACGTGAGAGTAAATCTCGTATTTGCTATAAATATTGCGCTGTTATGTCTGAAATGGTTCTGAAAAGAAAGCTGTTCTGCTTTTCGGATAATCCATCAGCGCAATGTCTAAAAGGCTTGCGTTTTTTTCTTTATATCTACAACTGTCAAACCTATGAAGAGAGAATGGACAATAGCGCCCTGAGTGACCATCACATCAAAGACATTTTTGTGCTGTTTTCATAGTTCAGTGGGACCTAGGGGTTCATAATTTGTTATCATTGCCTTATGGAATTGCGCAATAGGCCTCAAATTATGGTTGTATGTGTGCACCAGTTAAACGTAACTGAGTGTAAATGAGTTTATTTGCGTATATCGGTCCCAAAGGCACTGTGCTAGAAACAGCCTGATTATTTTGAAGGAATAAAGAGGAGTTGTGGAATGTTCATGTAAAAATGAACTATGTTTTTGGTACATTAAATCACATAAATGTAAATAAGTAGATCTAAAGAAAAAAAGTTAAGTACAGAAAAACTCTAGGATATGGGCACTTTTAATGTTACGGATAGGTCTTAGGGCTCTAAGGGTCAAGCTCCAACACAATGGGTCTAAAAAGATGTGTAGCTGTCGAGAAGCTTTTAAAAGGAGGAAAGAAAAGAAAAGAAAAACAAATCAAACAAAGAAGCTGCTGGTGTTCTCAGAACAATGGAATGACCACACCAGAGTCCAGACCTCAGCATCACTGAATGTATTTAGGATTACTTGAATTGTGCTGAAAACACAAATCAAAACAACTTCTAAGACTGAACTTTGGAGATGGGGAAAAATATCCCTGCAGATTTCTTGAAAGCAATTCGACTAAAACTTAAAGCTAGTCTATCAAAAAAGAATGAAAGCTATATTGAAGGCAAAGGACACATTAAATCATGAAAAATTACAGAGTTCTATTTAGTAACTGAGGATTCTGTGTAGTTTTCTGTTAAGTATGTGTTTTCTGCTTTTTTTCTAAAGCTGAAAAAATAAACTGTGATTAACGGCCATTTTTACTGTAAATTAAATAAGTAAAGTGTGGCCTCTGCACAGTGCGGTTTGTGCTGTGAGCAGTCATTCCTATTATAAGTTAAGATAGGTCACATTCAAAGTACAATCCACTCTCTTTTGGTCAGAGTAAGCAGGGGAGGGCTATGCTGGCCCCTGGATGGCTGTGTGGCATTAACTTGCTGGGCTGCGGCAGAGATGTGGGACATTATGTGCACATTGGGGGAGCTCGATGGGGACAGTAAGCCAGCGGATTTTCCTAAAGCCTGTAAAAAGAGCTATGCTGTGACCTAAGCTTCTGAAAGACCTGTTCCACCGAGACCTCCACTGCTCTCTCGCTCTCTCTGTCTCTCTCTCTCTCTCTCTCTTTCTGTCTCTTGCCAACTCTCTCTCTCTGTCTCTTTTCATTGTGTTTCTTTATCATGGATTAACAAAGGCTGATTTGATCGCTACTGTGTTTTACTGTCTCTGTGCTGTTTTTCTTGTGTACTCTGTCAATCAGTGTTTCAGAGTATTTTTTTTTTCAAACAAATGTAAAGCAGCTCCTCTTATGGTGAATCAATCACGGTAAAAGCCTGTTTTCAAGTTAATAGGAACACTACATGGAAGGGGTCATTTTTACAATCATGATGGGAAGTCAGTTATTTTGAGGGCATTTTTATGGTTTCTGTGTCAATCCAACTAAAAGATCCAATTTTTTTTAATCAATGAGCAGTCCACTACATAAAAGATGGCATACGTAAGCTAGGCATGAGAAGTCATGACAACCTCACTGTCCCCTTCCTGAGTTCTGATCCTGCAGAGAGTTGTAAGCAGCCAGTGGAAATAGAATGACTTGGGGAGGGCATGTTAGGGAAAAAGAAAGAGACACTGGGGAGAACAGAGTAACACAGGAACAAAACGTCCAGCACCTACAAGCACACCAATGACCCAATTATTACAGCATCAAAACCCTCTGTAGGGCAGCTAGAATTCAGTGTCAAATGTCATCCCACCCACGAGTGTCCAGTTCACTCCCCATGGGAATGTGGCCAGCTACATTCTTCTTGGATGTCCGCCCACAGGGGATTTGATCTGGCCTGTAGGGCGAAGGCTTTAGGGCGGAAGTTTGGTCTTACCATCGTAATACGGCTCACTCTCCAGCTCGCCCACAGACGGGCTGCAGTCAGGGGTTGGGGTGTAACCCTCTATGCATGGGTATCCCAGCATCCTCTGTGGCTCTTCCTTGGAAGCCCTGCAGTCGTCCGAGCCTCTCTTTGAGCTGAGCCGTGACTCGCGCCGCTCTTTTCTACTCTCACTTTTACTGTCCTTGACGCTTCCCCCTGTGGGATGTGATCAACACCGGTTAAAGGAACACACTGTGCTGCAGCACAGAGACCCAGCCTCCACAGGGAGCTTACACAGAAAATAACAATATGCACACAGACACAGTACATTGTAAATCCAAATGTTTATGTTTTAAGCCCTTTCCTTTAACAGTTTTTAAATGTGTCACGGTGTGTAGAAATTGAAGAAACCGTGATGGTTTCAAATAAACATCTGTGATAAAAAAGAGAACAGTCAGGTAACGTTTAGGGTATAAACAAATCAGTAAAGAAGAAAACACATTTTCAAAAATATTCATGTAGCCTTTGAGTTTTAAATGCTGGTCTTTACTTGATATTATGCTGTGTTCAAGACCAAAAAGGACCTGGGAGGTTTCCAACCTTTAAGTGGGAAAAACCCAACTGAACATCCTTCCAACTCGATTTTCAAGAGTTGCAATTCTGTGACACCATTTCAACATTGTCAATTAAACAGGAAATAATAGCTTGTTTTATGCTTCTAAAACAGACTTTGAAGTTTCTGTTTGTGTATCATATGCTAGTTGAGTGTGATGCTGATAATTACAGGGATGCTTGGAAAACTGTAAGGTTCTGTGTAAGATCAAACTTTTATGTCATTTTGGGCACTATAATAATGGTGGATTTCCATGGCTTACATCTACTTTTAAAAAACATTAAGCACTTACCAACAACTCTTTAATTCAAATGTAAACATATTTTTTTTCACACAGCAGCCAAACAAGTGCTATCTTACTGTCACCTCAAATAGTGAAAGGTTTTAGGTGGAAGTAGGAGATTTGGAAACATCCAACATCCATCAAACTTCCTGCATTACAGTCAAGCTTTCCACAGTTTTCCACTTTTATTTTCAAGTGGGGGAACAACTCAACTAAAACTGTGACATGTTTAAATAGTGTTAGGAGTGTTTAGATTTATAGTGTAGATTTACACATAATTATTACCATCTACTAAAAACTATAACTACACATGCCATGACAAAATATAGCCTATAACTGTGCTATGTAGACAACAGACAAGCTTAGAGAGAAAGTTATACTCCATTGAGAAAGCTTAGCTTTTAATGCACCGTATACTACCAAAAGCTTTGATGACAAGGAGATGTGTTATCACATTACCTTTGGATGGTTTACGCTTGAAGGAAATCTTCCTCTTGCCTTTATTATCTTCTCCATCTGAGTCACTGAGCTGTGAGTAGCTCACCTGTGTTGAGATAAGAATTAGCATACAATCAGTCTCAAGTGGCTCAAGTTTACATCTCAGCACAGGTGTCCCACACCATTGGTAGAAACTTACCTTAGCGTTCTCATCTCTCAGGTTAAAGGTGAGCTCCAGGTTGGTGAGAAAGTGGTCAGAGAACTCAGGGTACATGTCCAGCACCTCCAGCAGCTCCTCTCGGTTGATGGTGTGCAGATCACAGTAGCTCAGTGCCCGCACGTCTGCGTTGGACTTCCCTGGCTTGGCATACAGGTGGATCATCTCTCCAAAGATGTCATTCTTTCCTGATATGGGAAGGAAAATGTTCAGTGAAATGAACCCTCCTAGGTCCCCCATTGAGTATACACTGTGAAATGCATCTTTCCCTGTTGTTGAAACAGAATTCTGACCAAATTTTAAATACCACATCTACATTTGTAAGTAAAAGAAGATATTTTTTTATCGTTTTAATTTATTGTGTACACAGCACAATATTTTGACATTATTACAAACAGGAAAAAGTCAGAAGAGCAGACTATGTTGATAAAGAATGTAATTTGAATTTGAACTATAATTAATTGTGTAAGTGAAGACAATTGACAAAATAACAGTGACAAAAAACTGAATAAATGAGTTAAGAAACATAATGAGTGCAAATTCTAGTCAGGAGTGCTGCATAATACAGTTAAGCAAATAACGTCCTACCATGCTCTGTGGCATGCACAAAAATGCTGAGCAGGCAAGAGGAAAAGATTTAAGAGACCTTGAACAAGGGACGGAACATCATTATTCCAAAAGGTATTCCTGCAATTGGTATTTTGATGATTATGATGGTGGTGGAGAGAGCTGTCTAACTTGTCTAAACTCTTCTATAGGTGTTCAATTGGGTTGAGATGGCATAAGCTTCAGTCATAAAGACTGATCACCTGGCTAGTGTTTCAATAAGGCAGTGACTAAAGTGGCAACTGCATTTAGATCTATGGGAAAGACATCAAAAAATATGCTTAGAAATGATGGTCAAAAGGACATGTTCGACGCTTGTGCATTAGTGTGATATGTAAGAAAAACAGAGGAGTGACTGTTCCTCAGATGACTGAAACTATCAATGCAGAATGTGATCAGACTGTGTGAACAAGAACAGTGAGTCCACAGCTGCACAGAGGGTGATTCTGCAGTAGAGTTGCAGTGCAGAAAGCCCTCATTACAATGAAGAAAGCACATCTGAGAGTAGTGCAAAAAACACAGGCAGAGATGTGGAAAAATGATATGGTCAGGTACAACAAGAGAAACGTGAATGCTTGGCTCCTAGAGTGGGGGGGATGTCCAGTGATTGTTATTCTTTGGGGGGCATTTTGCTGGGATGGTCTGGGTCCACTTGTCGCCTTAGAGGTAAAATTATTCAGACTCATCACCTTCATCCTATGATGAAATATCTCTATCCTGATGGAAGTGATCTCTTCCAGGATGATAGTGCCTCTAACCTCAGTGCCTGAAGGGTCACTGAATGTTTTGATAAGTATGAAAACGATGTAAGTCATGTGCCTTCACAGTGACCAGATCTCAAACCAATTAAGGCCCTATGAGAGGTTTTGGACTGACATGTTAGACAGCTCTCTCGACCACCACCATCAAAACACCAACTGACTGAATATCTTTTGGAATTTCTAAGAATTGTTAAACCTATGCCAAGGTAAACTGAAGCTGTCCTGGTTTGTTACCATCTGTACGTAATTATGTATTTTTAAAACATGATGTAACATAAATTTTATGTATAGCAAACTGACAATAACTCTAGATTAAGGTAGTTAAAAGGGTAATTAAGCAGTGGTGGACGAAGTACACAAACAATTTACTTGAGTTAAAGCAGAGATACCCAAGGTAAAATATTACTCCAGTAAATTAACTATTAACTATTATCATTTTTATAACAAGACTCTTGCTTCATTAACTCATTTTAGGTAAAAATACTCCAGTGTCACTCTTGTAACACCAATATTTTAACAGAATGTCATTAATTAGTCTGACACTGATGTCTATTAAAATTATCATAAGCACAAAATACTGAAGGCAAACAATTTCCATTAGGTAGAACCAACTGGCTATGAAATAACTTTTTGCAAACAAGCAAAGTTTCAGTTTAAGGTTTATTTGCAACTTAGTTACAAGTTTAAGTTTAATAGAAACTTGCTTTAAACTCAGGTTCACAAATGAGTTTTCCTTTACTATATTGCATCTGTAGGTCTCTGTTCATAAAAAAAGTGTTTGTATAAATTCAGAAAAACGAAACATGACAGTCACAACTGCATATGTGTACATATTTCTATATTGTGGTCTATTTACACAAAGTTAGGTTAGTTCCATCATTTATGTTGGAATAGACACTCCCAAACTTTTATGTTGCTGCACTGATGTTGAACCGTATATGCTTGCACTGGGTCGGTATGTCCAACAGGTCAACACAAGCTCAAAACAAAGTGTGCGCTGTGCCCTGATTGGTGTTCTTGCTTTGTGCTTCTTTCGTTTCAACATGATACGTTTTTATGCACACATAAGCCCAAAGGAACGACAGATTTCGCATAATGTAGTGGAGTAAAAAGTAAGATATTTGATTTTGAAATGTAGTGGAGTGAAAGTAAAAGTCGCCCAAAATGGAAATACTTCAGTAAAGTACAGATACACGAAAAACCTATTTAAGTACAGTAACGAACTACATTTACTTTGTTACTGTCCACCACTGTAATTAGGCAAGATAAGTAAACCTAAGCAATCTTTGGAAATAACATAAGTAGGTCTCCACAAGATGTACTGCTGTTATGTGCACAGGGTCTGTTAAAAATGGAAAACTATGTCACTGCTTACAAAATGAACGACATATGCATTTTAGTGGACTTGTTTTGCATCTTTGCCTGAGGGTGGGTGTGTACATTTTTGGGTCAGTCCAGGCCAACTTCTGTGTATGCGGATTATCAGAGCTCGTTCTCTGCAGGGATTATAAGGACACATCTGGGTCCTGTTTCACAAAAGCATAGCAGCCTGACGATCATCATAAGATGGTAGAGAGAGCCTGTGCCAGACTGAGACTCAGCCATCTTACTGTGACCATGTTGCTACCACACTTTTGGGAAACAAGGCTCAAAATCAGCTGGCCCCCTCTCTCTCCTCCTTCCCTCTCCTCTCAACTCTTCTCGTCTCATTCATTATTTAAACACTCTCTGGCCTGCTGCCTGCTCCCACTTTGATGTCCACAGACACACCATCATATGTGACTGACAGGCTTTGCTGTCCTTGCTTCAAAAAGAATAGAAATACTTTTGATAATCAAGCTTAATTCATTCTCACTTTGTAAATGCCTTCAGCTGTACTTTCAAACAACTGTTCGCATTGCGCTGCACAATGCGCGAAGAAGAAAAGAGGAAATTTGCTCTTATTCAAAACAGCCGTGTGTGGTGAGTGCAGTGGAAAGGGCACCTTACAGTATGGGAGGCATCTCAGTGGTGCCAGTGCCAGGGAAATGTCAAGCCCCGAGAGCCATTCTACTTTATATACAGCAGACCTGACTGTGCATCACTGTGGCTTCAGGTGACCTTAAAGTGAAATGGCCAGAGTTTCTGAAATGACTCCTGTTCATTTGGGAACAGATACCTTTCCACAGCCTGCTGAAAAGGCCTTGGAGTTCAAAAACAAGCCCAGATGTCACAAAAGACCCGCAAAGAAAGAATAGCTTACGATGCCAGCTATAGTAACACAATAGGACTCATATTTAAGGGCCATTTTGAGTGTAGCTAAACTTCCTTTCTTATGGGTATCTAATTTAACATCCTGAACAACTGAAACATGGCTGGTCATATTAATAGTATGGTTTTCTGAGCAGAGTCCCACTGTGCCTCCTGCATGTGACCTAATTGTGTCAGCCAGTCAGCAGGGCAAGTGTTCAGTGGGTGAGAAACAAGTGCGTTTAAAGGTGGCAGGGCATGGCTCACCGGCCAAACACATGCTGAGCCTCTGACATTATGAGGAAACACACTGCTAATTACTGATGTCAATATTGATGCCTAACTAAGAGAGTTAGCATTTACAGGGCTGGAGATTGGATAGAATAAACAGCTCAATAAACCTACTAAATCACACTCTTTGTCAGCTGTTGTTCTTCTCATTCTCTCTCACTGTCTCTCACTCTCTCTGTCTCCCACTCACTCTCTCTCTCTCTCTCTCTCTGTCTAATGTCCTGCTGCCTTCACCCTTCACACCCTTTGCTATAAAAAGCTCTTTCCAGCTTTGTGCAGCTAGTTCTCTCTCTGCTCTTTGAAGAAACCAAACAGACTCAAGGAGAGCCACTTAACAGAAATGTCAGAAGCCCTTCACCATCAGGCTGAAGGCTTGGGCTCAAAAGTATTGTTAGAGATAAAAGGCCAGCATCCAGTTCAAGGGCATATCTGTGTTATTTGGGTGTTGTTTCAAAATGTGTTTTGACACAAAAACAGGCTATTAATTAGAGTCAGCCTTTGGATGTGCAAGATGCAAAAATCCTCTGTGCTTGGCCAAAGTGTTGCGGTGTTTGAGAACATTACTTTCCACTGGGGACGTCTGTGTATACAGATTCTGCAGTTGCTAGCCACACCCCCACAGCGGTAAACATCATTTCCAGGCAGAGAAACCTCCACAGGACTAAGTGGAATAAATTTCACAATAGCACAGCCTAACAGCGTTCCGATGTACCATTATTTAAATGTCAAACTGGTTAAATAAAACTTGAGACAAAACAGAATAAATTTAAATATTCATGCTAGTGCTGTTCTCTTTCAGAAGCACAGAACAGTGCACAAGGGAGTGATTTGTTAATGCAAAATTGCCATTAGAAAAAGCACTGTAAAAGCATGGCACTGTGCAAGCTTTTTACATCCATGTGTTAAAGAGTGGTGAGTGGTGCAATCTTAATTATCATACATAAGTGACCCACCAAGAGAATAATCAGAGGCCTCATGTTCAAGCTGACAAAGCCTGGTTAATTTAAGCAAGGCATGGCCGAAGTTAAAAAAAACATTCAAATTATGACTTAATTATTAACCTGTGGGGAAAACGTATATGCAATTACAGTCATTGTTAAAGTTGCACTCACTAATTTACATAGCATTTAAGTGTTTTTAAAATTTATTTATTTATTTATTGAAGTAATTGCAATCTTGACCCAATCCAGCTGTTATAGGTTTGCCTTAGCACATATCCACTGCAATGCTCCATTACTACAAACAAGATTGCACTCACTATGAGGCAGTTTGTTGCAGCTAACAGAAAACCTTTTTTACTCTAATGCGGTGATGGGTGAATGATTTCAAACCTTTATTCCACCACTGCCCTAATCATATTATCAGTCAATATTCTTATATCAATATTCCCATCAATTTCAGGATATTAATTATTGTTTCTCTGGACTTTTTTCTCTGCCAAAGAGTGCATTTAGTGCCATACCTATGTTTCTCAGCAGCCATCATGTCTACATTGTGCAAATTCATTTTAGGCAAATCAGGAAAGTGACATCAGAATGCGGACACGCTGGACTGGCACACAGCAATTATAGAGAGCTTGTTAACAACAGCCAGTGGGGCAGCCCTGCCAAATTATCTCACTGGATGTTCAGTCTCTGTGGAAACTGACTCAAATATTTCAATTAATATAATCAAATAAAATATTTTCCCCTGTAATTCTGTTATTAGACTAACTAGGACACTGCTGGCTTTCTGTGAGTGACATTGTGTTAGGCTGCTAGTAAGTAATGAGGAGAGGAGGAAGAGAACCTCTGAAGGTGTGAAAACAATTCACACCTCTCTACAAAAACGGCTAGGTTGAGATAAAAGAGACAACACAACTGCAACTTCTTTATATCAAAATATCGTGTACAACTGTCACAATGATAACTAGCATTTAAACACAACAATACACTTTTATAAATGAAGAATTTAACTTCAAAATGCCAATCTGTAACAATTTTGGACACAATGAGTTGTTGTATAATGGAAAACACATATTTATTTCTTTAATAAAGTGGTATTAATCATAATATAGTATTGATATTTCTTGTATGTGTAAAGCCCACTCTTAACAAAGCATATAAATGCAATGCATTTTGGAACAAAACTCATTAAAGGTTGACTTGCTTGCTCAGCTACGAAGACAAAAATCCACTTCCTGTTTCGTAAATCATTCATATTTCCATCAATGTAACTGAAGAAGAAAAATATTGTGTAGTTCACCTGAGGGTCCTCCAAAACACTACTACTGGGAAAAAAAGGTTTAAATCAAATATTGAATAGAAATAATCCAACTTTTTTTTCCTTATATGTCGTCATAGCCTTTTTTAAAAGTGGCACCATTTTTTTGCTGACACAGTGTGTCAGTTCAATAAAATCAACTACTCCTAACCACCCCAATCAAACAAACCAGCACCCACTTACCCAGAATTGCCACCACAACATCATCCTTCAGGATCTCGATGGAACCTCGGGAGAGGAAGTAGAGCGCTGTGAGGACATCTCCACAGTGGACGAGTGTATCTCCTGGGGGAGCGTGAGTGGTTTTAAAGCGCATGGCCAGGGCCCGCAGGCAGCCTTTAGTGGCCCCCCGGAATGCCTTACAGCCCTGTAGCAGGCTCTGATTCAGATGGAGACATATATCTGCCTGCAAGCACTCAGGAAAGCCCTTTAACACCTAGATAGAGGGAAAAAGGGAAAAGGAGAAAAACAGGAAGGGTTAACTTTGGTAACAATATGTATACATATGTGTATAACTGTGTGTGTACTGCTAACACTAAAGTGGGTAGACATCCCACCAAAAGTTAAATATACAGAAGCTGAACATGACAACTATAGAGAAAAAAAGTGCTATTGCTGAACCAGCTAGCAGCCTCAAAATCTTACAAGCTTAGGGAATATATGTTCCTTCTTTCACAAGCATCTCACATATAATGGTCTTTGTTCTAAATGACCTTCAGATGAAACATCAAAGCAGATGCATCTGCGTTCTGCACAACTGAAATGGAATTCTAATTGAAAGCAGCATATGAAATAAGATTATGAAACAAGATGAAAAGGTGCTCTATGAAGGAAGAGTCCAGAGCTGGCACATAACAGGCAGCAGGGGAGACGAGAATGACAATGACTATAAAGAATCCTGTGTTTATATAAATACCTCCTGCTCGTTCCAGGGTGATGAGGTCATTCCATTTCATATGGGGCAAAAAAGGAGAGAGACAGGTGTTGCGTTCAGTATGCACACTCACAAATGCATATTCTCATTTATACATTTCATTTATTCTATTCACACGTCTGAGAGAAGCAAATTCAAATGTATAGTAGATTTGTTATTGGTTTAGCATAGCTCTCAATCTCACTTTGTAAATTATCTTTTATTGACATAAAAAAATCAATCTGAAACAAAAACTACATAAATTTGGCTACATAATGAAGGCAATGATGCTGAGAATGAGATAAGCTCAGAGGGTTCCCCCCACTCAAACGCACCATGTTCATGTCAATGCCATTGGTGTAGGTCCAGGAGTGCTGGAAGTACTCCTCCAGCCTCTGCCTGAGAGGGTTTGGAATCTGGTGGAAGCGGATAAACTCTTTCACCCGCAGCATTTGCATGTGGTAGCGCGCTGTTCCTGAGTACAGCCGCTGAATGATGGCCGACACATTCCCAAAGATGCTGGCATACATTAGAGCTAACCAGGACAGAGGGGATGAGAGTTATCTTACACATGACCACGCTATATTTGAAAATGTCACACAATAAATAAACATATATATGCATTAGGGGTGCAACAGTGCATTGTGACATTGTGATATTGCAATGCAAAACTGTGCCAATGAGCATCATGGGGACGTGACAATGCATTATGGAGACGAGTACTCTATTAATTATGCTATCTAATGCAACTGCATTGTTTGCAAACAAGCAGTACCAGCAATCAACAACTCACACCAGCATTCCTGCCTCCCAGCTTTATCATCTTTAGCTAGTTAGCAACAACATGATTATAGTCATTTTTCTTAATTCAAATTTTGTTCAAAATATCAAACATATATCAAATTGTGAATCCAGTAAAAACTAATCGAAACGAACTATTGCTAATGTATTAGTGTGGCATGCGCGGGGCCCGAACACCCAGCGGCGACAAACCTCGGCCAGGACGGCGGGGAGAGAGCCGCGAGTGGGGAGGGGGCGGAGCGCAAAGCCCGAGCTCCTCGGAGTAACCCGAGTGACGCGAGTGACGGCGGGAGGAGGAGGAAGACGACGACGGTGCCGGCAAGGAGTGAGTCCCGAGCTCCGCCGCCTGGGCCCCGCCCCCTGTTACACAGCGAGGCTGCTCCACTACACCTCACCTTCGACCCGGGCGGCTGAGCTGCGAGCTGGTGGCGGTGACGAGGAGGCGGAGCGGCGAGCTCTCGTTTCCTCTCGGCTCGGGTGCTCTTAATGAGAGCCAGCTGTTGCTGATCTGGCTGGCAGCGTGAGCGCCTTTTAAAAGAGCTGAGAGGGAGCAGAGAGCGAGAGAGGGACGAGCGGCAGCAGCAAAAGACTGAGGAGCTGAAAAGCTTATTTAGGAGGACTGAAAAGTCTAGGCTGCTTAAGCCACCGAAAAGTGGCCAGCATAGTTTGAGTTGTTTGACGTTTGTTTATTTGTTAATAAATATGGCTGCTGCAGCACTGAAGCCTGCCTCCAGCGTCCTCCTTGAGCCTGGGGTAGCACATGTCGTGCTGCAATTAGTAATGCATGAATTATCAACAGTTTATTAATAACACTTCTCTAATTATTATTAATACTATCTCATAAATGCATTGTCCCTCAGATGCAATATAAAGCAATCGTAATGACACAAAGTTACAATCTCTTGTCCCTTGCTGTATAACATGTATTTTATGGATTTTTGTTAACATGTTCATATTACAGTAATGCTCGTAAATCATATAAATAAAATAATTCTGTATAGCACATGTACTGCTCTTTGCTCATAGTGCTTCATACTCATACTCACATCCGATGAGCATCACACAGATAGAAAAGATCTTCTCAGAGTTGGTATTTGGTGAGACGTTGCCAAAGCCTACGCTGGTCAGACTGCTAAATGTGAAATACAATGCTGTGACATATTTGTCCTTTATGGAGGGTCCAGAAGAGGGGTCACTGTAGTTATACCGCTTTCCAATAGACACCCCAAGATTATCTAGCCAGCCAATCTTGTCCTTTAGATAAGGCTTCTCCACGTTGCCAATGGCGTACCAGATGCAGGCCAACCAATGGGCAATGAGTGCGAAGATGCACATGAGGAGCATGAGCACTGCTGCTCCGTACTCAGAGTAGCGGTCCAGCTTCCTGGCAACACGGACCAAACGCAGCAGCCGGGCCGTCTTCAACAGGCCAATCAGAGTAGTTGTCTAAAAACATGAGAAACAGCAGTTTAGAAGGGATGCATAAAAACTGTAATTGGACATGCACTGATCAGAAATTTTTATGGCAGATTCCATTTTTTTTACAGCCAAATTGGCCAATGTGCCTTTTTTTTGTCCATTTTATATTGGCCTTTTTGACCTGAAGCTTTCACTATGTGGGGTAAATGAACATATGAAACACACTAGCACATTTCCTGTACTTTCTATTAGCCACAATATAAATAACACTATTTGCACTTTAATGGGCCAAACTGGCATTTTAAATTTGTGAATAAAAAAAATCAATTGCCTATTTAATAATACAACATCAAATAAATCATCGAAAGTAAGAGGGAACTGGCTATTTAGCACAATGAGCCATGTATAATTATGTGAAGATATTTTAGTATAGATGTAGCAGCAGCATTTAAATGAGTGCACTTTGCCATGTTATATTTGTCAAAATATTGCAACGCAGATCAGCCAAATTAAAACAAACAAGCTGATTGCTGACTGCGTGTTTGGAATAAAACTCTGCCCATTCCGATCTTGGCTAATTCCAATCATGCATCCCTCACAGTAATGCTTTTATCAGCTTTGAGCACACAATACAAGAGGCAAACTGAACTGATGGGAATGAATTTACAGAATTTGTGCCACTGAATCCTGCGTTGTGACAAATAAGACTGCAAAACAACAAACAGCACATGCAATTAATTTATCACTTCTCATCTTAAAAGCCCAAGATAATCTTTTTCACTTCCTCTGTTTATTTGATAGCAACAATGCACAATTACAGGGAACTGAAAGGGCTGCAAATTCCCTCAGACATATTGTATTATGTGAACTAATTTGCCTAGTGGTCGCATTTCTGGTGCCTATTTCCGTAGTAATGTGTTTAAGCAATTGCTGCACTGATTAACTGTTTCATTAAGATGTTTAATTATGGCCCATTACACACTGCTGTGCATGTGCTTTACCACTAGAGACCAGCGCAATCTAAGCAAAATCCAGCAATACCCAGGCCGCTGAAAGAAAAGAAATCGGCATATGAGAAGCACTCAAGATCTACTTTCCCTCTGATTCAGATATCTTCAGATATCTTCAACTCAGCAAGTTTTGACTGCAACCAGGTCATGGGTCAATGAACAGTACTGTAGAGGCGAGCAGACATAAATTCTCATTTGTGGAAGGCTTTCCCTCTTTCAGTAAAACCTCTGAATGAGTCCCTTGGAGTTTACAAGGCTCCTGCTACACTTTAAACTAGCCCCTGGCAGGAGATCATTTATTTACCTGGCAATTACATGGTGACTGTACAGAGTGAACAAGGGCTGTGGGTATTTTTAGTGCTCATCTGGAAGGCTAAGTCTGGCACTAAAGTTTAGCCTGCATATGAGAGTTGACAGCATGTTAGTGAGCGGTCTGTGTTTTCATCTTCAATTTGAGCTGCAGAGAGCTAGCAGACAGAGTATGCTGCGTAAGTCACGAGCAAGCCATTAAAAGCTCATTAGCAGCTACTGCTCACAGTGATGCACAGTGATTCTGCAGTTATAAGTTACAGAGTTATATATGCTCATAAGGACGACAGGGACCATCAGCGCTACTGAGAAACCACCACATTTTCATCACTGGATGGGTGCTCATATTTACATGCTTGGTAAATGTTTTTATTATGTGTACTGTATAGACAGTTTTTTATGATATACAGAGTTGGGAGTGGGCTTTACACATATAAAGACAAATCAGTGCTATATTATAATTAATACTATGTTTATTATAGAAATAAAATTGTTTTCTATTATACGTAAACTGTTTATCTTCAAATTCTTTACAGCAAAACAACATGAGTTAAAACCAAGAACAAAACAGCCAAGAACAAAGTAACAAACCAAAACCCCACACTAACTCAAAGACACAGACTAACTAACTTTTACCGAAATAAAAGTAAAAACAGCTTATCTAAGACCCAAACTAGCCAAAAAAGTGAAGTTATATAACAAAATTTATATTTATTTATATGTACATGAAGCAAACAGGTTAAAATGGGTTAGGCTAAATCACAGGTCCCATTCACACTTGACATTAACATATGTCCTAACTGACCTGATCATAAGTGGACAGCATTAAGTACAGGTGGTCAGGGATGCATCACACAACATAACATAAAACAACATAACATCTGTAATGTGAATGTTAAAGCCTCCTGATACCTTCCAGACAACGACAAAGGAGCACCTTAACCAACTGTGTCATCACAGCAGAGACTTTAGCAGAGAAAGTAGCTGCATATTTTCTCTATTCATCTCCTCTCCCATTTATTTGTAAGTTGTGTTAGCAGTCCATGCTATCTAAACATTTTTAATAGCTCATACTCAAGAACAAGAACAAGGACTCGCAGCCCTTTTGTCTGACACCAAATGCAGCGAGATCCATGGAAATGCCAAGTGTAAATGGCTGCATGTTTCAATGTCTGCTGGCAAAATGGAAATTGACTTTGATATTTTTAATTAATATAATCAAACAGAATGTTTTTCCCTGTAACTCTGCCACAATAAACCATGCACATTTCCATCAAAATCTATTCCATCAATGTTAATGACAGGAAAAAAAGCACCATTCAACTGAGGACTCCCGAGAACAGCTAGGTGGAAGTTGCATTTAATGGCTACTGTGGAAAAGGTTTAACATCAGATATGAACACAGTCTCAGAGTCAAAATAATCAATTAATCAGACTACTCAACATAATTCTCAATAACCTTTGGATAATGTGCATCCTGCAGCGCTCTGGAATAGTTTTAATTGAAGCGGTGGTTTGTGCGGCCTAGCTGCAATTAAGGCCAAATCAAGCAAAATACTAGCAAATATTGCAATTACCAGCATGTGCGTTCCATTTCACAAGGCTAAACCAGCTAAGTAGATCTGCAGTATTCATTCTGTATACACTACAGTATGCATTCTGTATTCTGTGTATATGTCATATGAACACATGAAAGCGTCAGTGTTGGTAAAGGTCATTGTAGAAAACAAAGTAAGTAAAAAAGGTACTTGCACTGCAATTCTAAAGAAGGATATGCTATAAATAGCTGTACAGGCACAAGAAACTCTGTGGAAAAGCAAAATGAATAAGTGTTAAGGACAAATGAGTGAAGACCTAATTTGCAGTGAGACCTAAAGTCACTTCATGTCCATGCTGTAAATGAGACAAGTCCTGAAACCACCTGCCATCTGTCTAGGACCCATTCTTTTTCTACTATACAAACCACACAGTGCAGTGACCACAGGCTGCACAGCAGCCCTGTCTCCCCAGCCACAGACACAAACAATCACAAAACACACCCCTACACACGCCACAGTCCCATCTGTTCAATTGCAGACACAGACACAAAAACAAATGCACACAATGCAGACAAACCTAAACCAGTCCAGCGAGAATGGGCTTTCCTCATGCAGGCCACTTTAGGTTTGTCATTTGAACCCATTTAAAATAGGCAGACTGGGTTACAACTGCACACAGTATTGTCCAGTACATTATACACATGGATTAGAACTGTTATTTGAGTTACAATATGCTTAATAATACTACTTTTAAGATTAGGGTTACAGCAAGCCCTATTCAATAAATAGAGCTAAAACTCAATGGAGCATCAATGAACAATTCATATTAGTGGCCTGACCTACTCCCTCAATCCAATTACAGCCATTAAACTGGCTTTGTTCATTTTGGAGGATGTAGGGGAAAGTGGGGGCTTGGCACAGCATAGCACAGCAAAGTGGAGGTTTCAGTCTGTGGGAGGAGATTTGACAGATGAGGCTAGCAGGCAACAGCAACATGCAGTCCTTCCCGTTAGCACCTGGGTCATTGTTCTCCTAGATACCAGGCAGGCTCTCAAAGGGCAGCAGCATGAATGCATTACCCCTCACAGTCCCCGACAGATAAATCCCACTGCCTCACTCTGGCCTAGTCAATAAAGTAAACGCGTCCAAATAGTCTCCAATTACCCTTTCCATTGAGCCTGGGTCGGCTAGCTAAACAGAGAATCAGGCATTTGTCAGGGTAACTGAAGGTGTCGCTTCAAAACCACTCCTCAATAGGATCTGCTCTGAATTAGAGAAGCAGAATTCTTCTTCTTTAATTGGGCTTCAGGCAATCTTCACTGTTGGAGCTCGATGGAGGTTGGCAAGGGGTTTTGCTCAACTGTGCAATTACTTTCACATAGATGAGAGAAGCACAAAAGAGAAAGTAGCAGGGCTCCAAGTGTAAAATGTGGATTAAAAAAGTGTTTAAATCAGACTACATAAGAGCAGAAATTAATATCTGACTTCCTGACGTTCATTCACACCCTAAATAAAGATAAGTAATATTACTTCAATGTATTCATTCACTGCCAGCCAAAAAGCTGCTCATGGTGCAGGTTCTAAAGATGGATCCAAATGCTGATTGAGGCTGATGTGCTAGTAGCTCGTCATAAGCCACTGCTGAAACATTCCCATGCAAATAAACAAGTGGACATGCCAGCGCGCCGGCCAGTCTGCCAGTGGCCCTTAAGCTGCACAAACAACGGCTTGGCTTCCCTCTTCTCATCTAAATGCATCATTGATCGCCATTTGGTAAGCCATTAATCCAAATAAATGGATTCTGAATTACATACCATTCAGAAAAAAAGGAAGGAAAAAAAAATTAATCCCTCTCTGACCACGACAAATACATTCAGCTTTTAAGAAGCAGCTCATGGCAGTAAGACTATATTTAGTGAATATAAACAGAGTGGGCCTTGATCCTAAAGGGATATAGAAGACCTTGCTGTGACAAATAAATAAATAAATAAACAAACAGTACTGTGCAAAAGTCAGAGACCACCCTTGATTTCTTTGGTTTCCAGCCAATATGGCCAATACACACAAGTTATTCATTTTTCAGCGTTAGAAAAAAGCCAGAAATCATATGTTTAACAGAAGGCTACACAGAAGCCTAACAATTAAATGCAGTATCTAATTCCTTTGTGTTTACTGTGCCTTTGCCTTTATTACAGCTTTTATTTTTTTCAGGTGTCTTGTTTTCAGTTTTTCAAAGAAATCTGCACTTCTAAAGTTGTGCTTCTCATGATCCAGGTAATCACATTCAGCGATGTTGAGGTCTAGTCTCTGAGGTGGCCTCTTTTTTTATTTATTTATTTTTGGGGGTCTAATTTTACCTATTATTTCTACTTTTATCATTGACAACGTCTTGACATCTACACATCTGCTCAGACCCAAATCATTATTTTCTCATATCTCACAAAGGTGAAAGTTTTAAGTACATTTAATCTGATGGTGACAAGTTTTGGTGGTGTTATATCTAATCCCCTGAGAAACATCTCATGAAAAAAGAAAGATTTATACATAATAATGGCCGTTTTGCCTACAAATTAAACAAATGAAGGGTGGACTTTTGTACAGTACTGTATGTACTTTCAGAGACTGATTTATCATATATAATCAATATACTGATTGCAGGAGCAGACAGAAATAGAAAGCCCTTTTAACTGATTACTTACTTCATCCGAGCCTGAGCCAAAGATGAGTAGGTCGAAGGGAATGGCTGCCACCATGTCTATAAGGAACCACCCCTTGAAATAGTGAACAGCGATCTTCCCTGGGTGACTGACCACCTCCTCGTTGGAGTTCACATATGTGGTGCGGAAGTTTATGAGGATGTCTATGATGAACATGATGTCCACCATTAAATCCACCACATTGAGTGGGCTGCAAGAGTAGCCACACTCTCTCCTCTTCTGCTCCTCACGGTCGTTGAGCAGGAAGGCAGCAGAATAGGGTGTGAAGATGGCTGTGTAGATGACTAGCAGCAGTATGAGCCAGTCCCACACAGCTTTAAACGGGCTATAGTGGAGGATGGTGAACTTATCTATGCGTGGAGCTTGGAGCTTATACTCTGGTAATACATCTGCACCCAGGGACAATACCTGGACAGTGAAAAAAAAGAAAGGTTATTGTAATATCAAATGACTGTGACAGATAATAATGTGAACTTCAGCTGTTCATCAGATCAGTTGTACTGGCCACTCCCTAAACAAGACAAATTGATAGATGGTAGTGAAGTAATGTAAATCAAAGTGAAATAATTTAAATAACATGTAGAATATATGTTGTAATTCAACCTAAACAATAAACAAGACACTTTTTAAAACTTAGCTATTTTGTAACTGACAATCAATTACCAACAACAGACAACTAACATATCACAAGGCACTAAATGACATTCTCTATATTTCCCTGAATTGCTTTATGGCAGCTATGGGGTTACGCCACCTATGGGGTTAGCTGTAACATGTGCATTCCTGCCACAGACTGAATTGTTCACAAATGGTTTACAAAGTTCATGTTTAATTTGTAGCAGAGAGGTGTTGGTTATATACAATTTTGCTCAAATGGTAAAAATTATTAAGCAAAAACCAGTGTTAAGTTCTCCTCTCCTTAATTTCAGTTTATTTTATGTCTCTCCTTCACAGCAGATTTATTTGCAGACACGATTCATATTTCCATCTCTTATGATGCAAGGTTTCATTGTGTCAGTAATGCTGACTACAAATCTTCCAAATTTTACTCACGCAGTCTCAAGGAGCTCCAAAACATAACATAAATATTCTCAGGCCCTGCCATAACTCCTTTTACTGTCCAAAAACATTTATCATTTACAGAACGTTTAGAAGAGCAAGCGTCCAAGCCGTCCATCTCGGGGTTATTGCTAGAGTGATCTGGGTTTAAGTGCCCTGCTCAAGGGCATAGCAGCAGAAAGGATTTTACAAAACTGACAAAAAAATGATTCTGAGCTGAAAGTCTGTGAGTGCAGGTGTGTTCCTCTTTCTCCAAAAAGAGAAAGATGAAGTCTGCTAAGGTAAAGAGATTGCATACTTTTTGTACTTCAATCTCATTTCACCTGCATTAACTGCTGTTTGTGGACTTCCTATTCACTGGTCAACAAAAGAACAAACTAAAACCACGAGATAAAAAGCTGTAGCACTGAACAAACACTGTGATTTGATTGAGCATTTGGGGATTTATGGAGAGAAAACTTGCTCTGTCAGATTGGATGGTCACCTTTGATTTTCAGAGTTTGCAGATTCTTCCCTGTGGGTTGCAGTGCATGGATGTATGATGATCATTTTCAAAATAGGGACTGACAATGCACCCTGCGTTTCTAAGGAGACTGCAAGAATATGATTTCTGGGATTTCAAAATGTTGAAAAAGGCTGGGACGGTGAACTGTGCATGTTTTTTTGCTAGACATCCAGCAATTTACAATGCCTCCAGGAAGTGTAGTAGGATTTGTACTACTTTTTTTCCATGCCTCAACATTCCTTGTTTTACAAGGTCAGCAAAGAAGCAGTTGCCATACTATCAAAATGAAAAAGATTTAAAGTCCTGTTGTGTTCCTGAAAGACACTGGAGCAGACTAGGGAGTGACTGGGACTGAGCCTGCAGAGAGCTCACACACACACATTGCCACACGTGCACAAATGGATGCGCACACCTCCTGTGGCTCTCATCGGCACTGACAGACAGCAAATGAGGCCTCTCTGCCTGATTAATACTTCATTAGCCATCATGACAGCATGAAGGGGAGCCTGTTTTGTGTTGCCTCCTCAGCACTTTTCTCCCTGATCAGAAAAGGCTGAAGAATGGATCTGTTTCCTCTTATCTGCCTTTCACACACACAGTTGGGCGCAGTGAGGTAATGCGAGAATCACTCAAAGGTTGACAAGCCAAATGACAGAATCCTCAAGCAAGAAAGACTCAAGGAACAAGAGCTGCCTGGGCTTCCTTGAGGTGAGCACTTGTGTTTTTCTAGATGGGCTGTCAATGTCTTAAGCGTTTCTCATTTCCTCCTCCAGCTGTCTACGAGAGTGGTACACGTGAGTGGGGCTCTAACCCAACGCCCCCGAGCCTGCACAATGACTCTGACTTTCACTGGAGGACACTTTCAGCAGTTATCTACCCTCGGAGCCAATCGTACGTCTGTGCAAGCACCCAAATCTAATTTTCGAGTTGCAGGCGAGGCAAAAAAAAGGTTGAGGAAGGAGGGTTAATTCGCACTGTCTCACATTTTGAGGCTGCCACAGCGCTATCGAATTCTGTTTTGCCAATACTGGGACATATATTTCCTCACAGCAGTAGGAAATCCATCTTCATGCCCGGATGGTCTTTTGATGCATCGCAAGCGCCAGAGAGAGAGACAGTGAGAGATAGATGTTGAATACTGTAAGAAAGAATCTAGAGACTGTTGTATTGGAAAAGACCATAGTATATGAATCCAGAGAAAATTAATTATGCTTTCTTTAAAAACTCTCTCACCCTTAATATCTGCAGGGTTAAGCTTTATACTTATTAGTGTACATTTGCATACAAATTTCTGTACACCATAAAATAACACATGGGAACTTTAACCAGTGTACACAATTTTATGAAAGATTTTGCCTGGTACAGGAGACTATTGACCTTGCAATAAAATCATGCAGCACTTAACACTTGTGATAAATCAAAATATTATATACAGAACACACAGCTTCTTTTCCAATGTAAGTCCAAATGTTTAAAACAGCTGCATTATCCCATCCCACATCGACGTGTGACCAGTTACAGCCTCTTTTTCAAGCTGATGTGCTGTTAAATTACATCTAGGAAGTACTGAATAAAAAACAGAGATGATGGTGGGTCAGCAACGTTGTTCTATATATGTAATAAGTTGTCATTACTCTCCATTGAACTGACTGATGATTCTTAATTGTACAGCAGAAAATGGTTACAAACCATGCCCAGCACAGTTTTCTACACACAATTAGCCAATCAGTGCAACAGTGCTGTTTGGTGGGATGACAAATTGGTGTAATTGGTCATGAGTTCACACTAGTGCAGTAACTGTTTGACCCTGCAGTGGAAAAAAGCCTTAAACTGTTTTGAGGACATCATGTCCAGGTGGAACATGCCACACATACACCAATCCCTCCCAGCACTGATAGTATTGTGTGATGGGGGAGACCTAGCTAATGAGCGGATATGTGACTAGATATATATAAATATATATATGCTGGGAGGGTAAAGGCATGAACAAAAACTTCTTCCAAATAACATGAAGACAGCCACCACATCTTTTTGAATTGCCACTACCAAATGTCATTAGACTCAGAGTGAGCTTGGAAGAGAACATTAACTGCCAGTTCTGTTGTGTTATGGCTGCATCTACTTGCTACTATCGTCGTGCTAATATACCTTGCTCTTTTTGGGTGGGCCATCCTACCAAACCAGAAAGAGCAAGGTATATTAAACCTATTTCTTAATTTTTTGTATAAGTATTAAACCAATTTTAACAATTTTATCTAGTGAAATTGTCTCATGCTATTGACATATTTTTTTCTTGTAGGGCAGTGTAGCCCTACAGTGGGAAAATACAGATTTACATACATCCAAGATAAAAAAGGAAATCTTTCCATTCTAATCCTGAGGAACGCATTCACACGTCAGCAACAGAAGAAAACATCAAAGTGTTTGAAACTAAATTACATCAGTACTGCATTCAATTTTACACAAAAAAACCCACCAAAAATCATTCAGCAAAAGCAACATTTTGGTTTGGCAATGTGCCACAACATCATAGATCTCACCTGTGTGACTTTCTCAGTGACGTTGTGCGTACGGTCTTTGACCTTGGGAGCAATAATGGTCTTCTCAGAGGCAGGAGGTGAGGGGACTTTCTTGTCGTTATTGGTCTCAGAGAAGTTGAGCGCAATGAGGGGGATCTTGTTAATAGTACTGTATTTGTTCAGATTGGAATCTGAAGTGGAGCCCAGCAGACTGGATTTGAGATGGTTAAAAGGACCTGAAGGACAGAAAGCAGCTCAATTAGAAACACTCTTAAAAGGCACTGAGATGCAGCTCATTAAACGACATAGCCTCTTAAAGTATGCTTTTCCTGTACAAGCTGCACAGTGCCTAATGAATGGTGCTGAATGGAAATTTAATGTTGCACTAGAACAAACAACAGTGAAGCGCAGCATGGCACCATGTAATTTAAAAGCTTTACAAGATTGAAAAGATACATTTATTCCACATAAAAATACAAATCATGTTGACATGTTTCATGTGTTCATGGCTTTAAAATGGCATACATGGTTTTGACAAATAAAGATCAAGTGAGAGTAGTCAAACTCCAACTGGGGGAAATATGTGGGGAAAAGAGAATTTTTAAAGAGGAAAAATGGTAGGATTGATTTGCAAGAAACAGCAGATACAGAGCATTCACATGTAGCATTGATTTCCTGTCAGACTGCAGGCTAAGAACACATCAATCTCATGCGAGGAAGTAGTATGGGGAGGGGGAACTTCCTCCAGTCAATCAGAGCTTAGAGCAAACCATCACTCGGAGACCTAGTTAACAACTTCAAACCTAAGGTACATTCACCAGGCTCATTAGGCCTCAGTAGGCTCATTCACCACCATCCCCTACAACCCCCACACTAGAACAGAATGTCCTCAGACACATCCTAGTTACTCCATGTACTGTATTGGCATTATTGTACCAACAGTACACCTGAATGAACAAAGGGATTGATGTTAAGTTGAGAAGTGAAATCAAGCAGAAACTGTGGAATGGTTCCCTGCAGACTTTGACTGGGGCCTCCCCTCTCAACCCTTCCTGCAAAGACTGCAAGAAAGTCTTTGTATTTTCTTTTGTTCAACCAATCCAGCCTTTTTAAATCTGCAAATACAGTCTAGCATTGGGTGCTGGGATGATTTAAGATTGAGCCTGTTATCACTGAGAGAGTTTTACTGGAGTTATACTGCTTGGTGAAATGGCACCACTAATTGCCAAACTGTCCTGCTTTAAATACATGCAACAAGCAGTCCAAGACAGTAAAGCATTCCATCATAACATACTGTTACCTTTCAGACTGCGGCCATGGTCTGGAATGCAGGAGAACAGTCAAAAGTTATTAGAGGAACCAGATTCAGATTAGGTCCAACATTCAACCAAACTGCATTTAGGTTAATCTTATAGTCTGAGGCAGCAATATGCTTGCAGATTATTCAAAAATACATTAGTGAACACTTAACACTTGCCAGACTAAAGACTGGCCTGCATTATTTATGAAAACTATTTATGCAAATGATTATTTGTTTTTATCACCTAAATGCCTTAATTCCACAGAAAGTCTATCTGGAATGCCTAGGATTGTAATAATGATTAACAAACAATATCTGTAACCAAAATGGATCCATATTTGCATTTTAGGGCACTGTTATAGCTATTTTTTCTCTGAGTGTCCAAATCAGAAAATTTAATTCAAGGGTGATTTTGAAGGCACTACAACCTCCCACAATGCATTCATAATTTCTAGTGAACACCGTAGATCACTACATCAGCTGAAGGTATACGAAAATGCACTGTGAGTTTCTTGTTACTAAGCAACAGATGTCACTAAGTTTCTGGTGGACGCTCAGTACAGTAAAAACAAAGATACTACATGTTTACTGCCTGTTGCTCTTCATACAGCAAAAACACTGAATGGTAACTGCACGTTACTGCAATTATGGACCAAGAATTAAATGTCTAGACAACTCAGTGTACTTTTCCCCCCAGACCTTGTACCCTGCATTTTTGAAAACAATTTTCGAACAACTTTGGCTATGAATAAGAAGCAAACCTCAGTCTCACTTGCGTAACTGTTTGGTTTGTTTATGTAACTGGTGAATCCTTACACAGGTTAATGATAAAGTTCCCAAAATAATTTAATGATACATGCATTTTTAATGCTACTTATTATGCTAAATAGCTCGCCCCTATACACTAATGAGGGAGTAAGGATCCATTTCAGTCACAGCCAATATATTGTGCAGCCCTGGACATAATCTATATATAAGAAACAACATTACAGGGCAATATGTGAATGCTTTATGACCTGTATAAACACATTTATGCAACCTTCATTTCTGTCGCTAAACTATGTTAAAGCCCCAAATAGGAGTTTCTTATTTATCTTATAATCAATCTACACACTACATTTCTACATTGTTTTAGTTTTTATTTATTCTGATTTTGCATTTAATCTGTTTACTATTTTATTAAGTATGGCATATGCATCAAGAAACACTTAGTCTATATATTCATACACTTGAGATCAGTCTCCAAAACCCAGATTAGGCCTAAGCCTAAACTAAAAAGAACTTCTAATGGTGATTCACAACTGGCACTGCAGCTTGGCTCAAGACTTAGTTTAATCCTTGTCTGGGGAACTGACCCTTGGTAAAAAAAACAAAAAACAAAAAAAAAACATATATATATATATATATATATATATATATATATATATATATATATATATATATATATGATTTGTCATATTTCAGTCTTGCAGATCAAGCTAAATAATAAATCAAATACATGCATTTATACCCAAAGATCTGTGCTACTGTAGCTCCATTGCATCTTAACAAGGCAGCAGAGGTCTCTTTTTCAGAGTAAAAATGTAATAGGATTTATTTACCTTCACTGGCGTGCCTGTCCCTGAAATGCCGCTTGGAGTTGCTGAGGCCTTCAATGTCATGCACAGATGAGGCCCGTCTTCTGCTACATACACTGTCTCTGGAGATGGACTGGGCCAAGCAGGCAGTGGACTGGGCCTGAGATGGGCTAGGACGGTCCCACAGCTGCTTGGGGGATGAGTGGTCAAGTGGTCCAGACACACTTACAGGGGAGGAGTGGGGACTGGAGCTGATTAGGGCTCGCGTGTCGTTGGCATCGGCTGGGCTGCAGCTGTCCTTGGTGGGCGACTGGAAGTCCCTCAAGGCCACTGAGTCATCGCTGGCTCTCGGGGAGTCCACCATCACTGTGTCAGGGTCCTCTTGGGGCAAAGTCTGCTTGCTGGAACCCAGCAGGTTCAGTGACGGCAGACGGAACCTGAAGAATCTCCCTTTTCCTAAAGGAGACAAGGTCAAAAAATATGTAGGCAATTTCAAGAGGTGTAGCTTGCAGCTTTTGTGCATTCTGTGCAATCACCTTGAAAGAAATGGAGATGGATTTTAACAATTGCAGCGGAAAGTAGGTTTTTCATATGGAGATGGAACAATGGGCAAATGTCCTTGGCTCTCGCCTGGAATACATTCTATTTCTTCATAAAGAAAGATATGAAACCAAAAAATAGGTGGCCAAAGCACAGAAGCACAATGCATCCCTCTGCAGTGTCTCTTAAGCTTTCAGTTTGCACATTTCCAATAAAAGACATAAAGAGAACAAAGATTTACACTGCACAAAGAGATTTATTTAATAAGAAACTGGAATCTGAATCACATTAATTCACATCATTCTCAAAGTACGAGACATTTTCTCTTTCTTGAAATAGAAAGTCATGCATAAGATTGGTCTAGTGAGATAGAGGTGAGAGGGCTTATATTTCTAAAGATCTTCACAGAGAACAAATCTGATTAGCCCACCTCGAGTCACCTTAAAGGGGTTTCAAAGGGGAGAAACCCCTCACTACACAATCACAGTTATACACTACAGCTAAATGAAGCATATTTATTCTCATGGGAATGAAAAGGCTAGATTGAATTTGCAGGTGCATGCTGAGCATCAAAGGGCCTTCAGAGAAGCAAAAGTAAGTGAACTAAAGTCTAACACAATCTCCTCAGCATCCAATTATACACGTCTGGCTGGGCTTTGCTCCTAATTCTGCCCTTACTCCTGATGCTTTTAGCAGCTAGTTTTAATTAAGGGTTTCCTTTTAATTTGGGTTTTTGTTAATCAAGACATGATCAAACAAAAACACCAACTCCCATGGTATTGAATGTTCCCTATGTGTCGCCACTTTGAAGACTGCTGCATTCATCATTTTGTTGATATTGGAAAAATGTATTGACTAAGGCACCCTCTGGAGATTTTTAATAGGGCTTTGCATTCTTTAAAGAAAAACCCAGAAAGAGTTGAAGAAACAGAGCCTACTTTATATGAATAGCTGATCCCAGCATTTCAGCTACAGCCTGTGGAAATGTGAAGCTTTTAAGTAGGTGAAAGCAGTCTGTCCCTGTGTAGATCTGAGTCTAGTTTCGAGTATAGGCTAGAGCATAGACACTGTTGTATAATCAGCCCCCCCTGTGTGAGTGATGCCTGTCGTTTTCCTTACAAATCACACCTACAAAACAAAGTGGGAATGAAACCAAGGAAAGTAGAGCTAAAGCTAACACCACTGTCTACAGACCTTATTTGAGGAAAGCTCTCCGAGCAGGTGTATAGCCAGGACTTTCTGCTGTCTCTTCACTGTCACTGTCATTTCACCCAATCAGATACCAGTCTTATTAATTCCAAAATTGACATTTCATGTCATTGGATGTCCTTGCAGACCTCAAGGCATCTGGTACTGAGACTTACTTGAGCCTAGATCATCACCCCTTAATGCCATAGACTTTTATATTGATAGAGCTTGGGAAGGTACGTCACATCGTGCTGCATTATGGGATCGTTCTGCCATGTTGGAAGAATTTGTTTTTTGTTTACATGCTGAAGGTACTCATCTCAACTAACTCAAGTGGGTTTTCAAACAACTATATAATGGTAAAATTAGCTTTATTGGCGTCCTGATCCACACAAGCTCCCAAACAACGAGGGGAGTAATGATGTGCATTTGTTAATGTTACCTGCTTTTTCCTTCACAGACTTAGCTAGACTCTCCTAGCAGGTGTGAGTCTTAAGTGCCTGTTCCTTCAATTAGTTTAAGCCACTCGAAGCCCATGTACAGCTTACGAATGGTTATTTTCTTCAGTTACATTAACTTACTGCTGTATTTCACTCAGCCACTGGCATATCTGAAGATACAGAGGATTCATACAATCTTTGATTTAACTGTGCTGTATATCACATGGTTTTGTCATATTTCACTTAAAGGAGATTTTTTGGCAAACCCTGCTTGCCTTGCCTGGCTAATTAGCAAACTAATGACACGATTGCTGTGCTGTGCAATTTTAAAGCCCACAAAATCCATTTTAGATCTCATGAATCTTACGTTTACAAAGAAGAGACAATCAATGTTAAGTCTTGTTAAAATTGTCTAAATCAATGTTAAGAGAAGCAGACAAATAAACACTAATGGTCTGGCTGTTCAGCTAATGTTGCTAGCTTGCTTATATCACCTCGGAGGTAAACTGTTAGGTTTGTTAGTCAGTAGTGGTATTATCACTGCACACCTCATGATGAAACTGACAACTGCTTCTTACTTGCCAGATTCTTTTTCCAACACCCATGAGGTGTATGTGAAGAGCTAGTTAGCTGGATCCAAACGTGATAAATCCACTAAATTATAAAGGTTTTATTCCATTAAATCTATATAATTAGGGACTAAAATGAGCTTTGTGTTGATCTGCATTCTCACTGAGATGCTTCATATGTGCTGTTGAACTAGAGCTGTATCTAAATATCTGATTAAACCTTCCTTTCTGACCTGTTTTCCTTGATTTTGATCTGATCTGTGAGTCATGTAGATCTACATGCTAGTCATCTCTGCATATGTATTTAGTGACACAATAAGCTACAGAGCTGCCAAAATTTAAAGAAAGCAGGTAGAAAAGTTAGTAGTTTTCAACTATTCCAAACCAGCCTGGACTAACTCTTCCACAATGGCAGATCTCCCATAAAGCACTGTGTTATGATGTCACATTCTTAAAGATAATTAGGATCCAAATGAGAGGTGTTAAATAATCTGTTAATTAGGCAGAGTTGTGTTCAGTTAGGGACTGAAAGAATTTCTCCTGACTGCTGCCTCTGAGGGGGTTGGATCCACTTCCATGCAGTAGTACCGTGTTGCAGCCTGGGTGGAAAAACTCCTTGGGAGGGCAGAAATGGCCGCTCAGCCACAATGACAACAAGCCCTCACAGGGCAGTACAAGAAATCTTCACTCAACAGCCATTCTGCAGTCACATGTGCTCATTTTTCAACAAGTGCTACATATGAGGCAGGTGACTCGCTCTCTCTCACATGCCCTTACACACATACATAAAGACCACCTCCACAGGCTATGGGCCAAGAATCTCATTGTCAGGATGTGACAAGCAGGACTTTTTCAGTTTCAGGGATTGCTGATTACTAACAAGGGACAGGTCATGAAAATCTTGACTGATTGTCCAGTTCACTGATAAAAGGTTTACAAAAAATTGTAGTAAACTCTTTTATTCTAGACTCTTCACTGTATTGTTTATATATCTCCCAGAGTTTCTTTGTTTTGGTTTATTGGGGGTGGGATTATGTCTGCACTGCACAGACATCCCCACCTAAACCAAAACAACATGGAATACTGCTGGATTCTATAGTGAATCACTAGTTTAGCTTTCCTACTTTGGTAAGGAGCTATATTTTCCACAAAATTAACACAGCTTTACTCTGAGTCAGCAAATATGTCATCTTGTGCAGCTGAAGGGTGTGCAGGGAGAAAAGCCAGTCTTCATCACACACCTCTGAAAGACTTTACAAAAACATACTGTTAAATATACAGGGATATACATGTTCAACAAACTTTAACCAAGAAGATTTCAAGTGTGAATTTTTTAAAGTCATGTAATAACTGAGGTAGCATTGCTAATGAGAATCTCAAATATGGCTTTGATAGATTTTTTTCAAAACTGCTTTTCTGCTTTTCACACCCTTAAAACATGGATAATGTAGACATCACAGATGGTTTCTCTGGAAGGTATGCATTTGCTGACAAATTGGTGATTTACAGCCTGACATAATCTTTAAGCCATGTGAATAGAGACCTTAAATGTGGCAACATTATCTTGTATCGTGACAAGAGACACATTTTCCAGATTCTTCAACAACTTATTTAACACACAGCAGCTTCTCAAGAGCTACAGATCCTAATGCGGGTCTGTGTGATTCCGAGTGATGCTGACAGAGGGTCATGCAGAGTGGAGCAGAGGAGGTTAATAATGTATTATGAGATATTAAACTATCATGGCCACCTCCTTTCTCTTCCTGTGTCTGTCATCCTTTCACACTCAATCAGGTCTAGCACTAAGGAGCCTCTTTATAGCCTCGATTTACTGTTATGCCAAGTGCATTACGCTCTACACTGCAATCTAAACTCCCTTATGAGTGTGCTCTCTCGTCTTGGCTGGCAAGAAAAAAAAATTGCAAGTTGGAGCTACAAATGCTGTTCTGTGCTGTTCCTGGCTGATTGGCCTGTATTTAGAAATGGTGTTCCGGCTCTGTGTTGAGCTCTAACAGGCAGATGATGAGAGCAGTGGAAATGTGCTGTTGCAGATGCTTTGTAAACCATGAAACAAAACAGCAGTAAGCTGGTTGGCTGATGCTGTTGGCTAGTTGCCTTATTGGGTCCAGCAGCAGTGTAAAATTTTAACAACATTTTAATGGGGAGCATTTCACACAATGTGTCCTTCATCCTGACCCATGACCCTAATCTAAAATCCAATCACAATCCTGACTAACACAAAACCCAACCTTGCCCTAATCAAACAAAACCCTAACCACAAGCTCAACACTAACCCTCACCTTAGCACTAAAAACCACTATAAGCACAGCATTAACCACTGCAAGAGGCGCTCAATAGTGTTTCCTGGAGAAGTGTGTGTCATATGTAATGTGCAGCAGGAGCACACACACGAGTCACTCTGCCCCACCACATTCAGTTTCCTTGTTTCCCTACTACACCGACTTGTAATCCACAAGCAAAAATCACAACGCCGCATTTTAGCGGATATAGCAGAAACTGCTGCTCAAAAAGTGACCGTGACCACAGAGAGGAAAATATACAGTAGTGTGCAAGAGTCAGATACAACCTACATTTATTTAATTGTCAGTCAAAACTTTAGGTGCAGGTTTTTAAGGAGGTATTTCTTAGGAGATTAGATATAAGATAATCCACTTGCAAAAGAAGAGGGAAATTCAAAGGAAAATAAGCAAAA